TGATTTTTCCTTTTAGATCTTTTGTTAGAATCTTTCCCATTTGCATGATATCCTTCTTTGGAATTATTTTCCTGCAAGTAGAATTAAGTTATTGTCTATTAATAAAATCCATATCTACAATCTCCCCCTTTTTGATGATGAGAAAAAAAAACCTTTATTCAAGTTACTTCCCTGTTCTAGTCAGCCCCCCCCCCCTCAACTTGGTGTGAGGTAAGTTGAGTACTTAGAGTTGACTCCACATCATTAAGATGCCAGTAGTAGACTTTACTTAGTCGACTGAGCCGTATCTTGCAAGTTAGTATACTATTTGATTTTTGCTCAATCAGTCGACTATATATCCTTCATCCTGCAAAGTTAGTGAATGTATTCTACTTCTCCCTATTTGGCATCAATAAAAAAGAGGGCTAACCAAGATTAACTTCTAGCAGATAAGATTAGCAGACAGTATGCTTAGTTACATTCATCTAAAGAGTATAAGAAAACATGCAAAAGAAAATTATCCAGAGAGACCAAAAGAAATTGTCTAAACAACCAACACAGATTAACGACGGAGTAAATAGGTAAGGGTGTTGCAGATAGCTTCTTTAAGGCGATTAATGCTAGTGTTCATTGTGACGAAACTCCATCCACTCGATCATGCACCTCCTTGAAAGCTTTCACTGCCTTTTCTGCGGTTTTCAGCACCATAACTCTTAACTTGGACACGTTAGATCCTTTTTCCTTTGCAATTGCATAGATATCTCCAACTGAGGTCTGAGTTGCCAGTAGTAGTTCTTTGACGGTAGTAAGCTTGTCATCAAGTGCAGTTATCTTTTCAAGCAGCTCTGGATTGTTGATGGCGGTCCGAGGGGTATCAACCTTTACCTTGGAACTGGAGGGCATTACTTTGGCTTCAACTTTCTGCTTCTTTAGCCAAGTACCATCCACAGCGACATATCACATACTGACAAATGCCCTATTATTATAGCACTTGGAAACAGATACATAGGGATAATTAGAGAGAGGGATATTGAAGGCCTCGAGCAGGTGAGTAATGACAATCTCTTAGGGTAGGCTTGAGGGATCTTTAGCACATTCAATCAGGAAATTTATTACCCAGGAAGACAGTGTCACCTTGTGCTTGGTGAGAAGACAGTAGACCAAAAAGGTGTCCTTTTGAGACAGAGTGATGTAGGAACCAGTTCTGGGAAGAATAGTAGTGGCAACAATGTGGGCAATAATATGGGGTTCAAAATTTATGTCACTGGGTCCTAATTGGTTTGGCAGGGGATTAGACAGGGAATAAGTAATACATTCTTTGGCTTGTTCGAACGACACTTCAAAATCATCAGGCCAAGAGTTTTTAAACAAAGCAGAATAACCAGAACTTTTACACTTAAAAAGGGTATCAAAAGTAGAACACTCTGGAATAATACACTGACCTAGCATGAGTGACTCAATTTTATCAGATTTCTGGGAAGGAAGATTTGCATAGAACATGCAAACCAAGTCTTCATGGACCTTTGGAGGGGTTAGGGCAAAGAAATTTTTCCAACCTTGAAAAGTGAAGAAGTTTTTGACCTTGCAATTTAGGGCTTCCATCTCTTCCAAGTTGATGATCCTTCCATGAGCGATTGTCATACCTTTGTAGGAGATGAACTTATCTCTATTGGGAGAATCCCAATAGTTTAGTTCGGACTCCAGTGCACTGTCCAAGTCTATTTTCACCTTCTTTGGAGTGTATGTTGTTGCTCCTTCTTCCATAGGTCACTTCCCTAGTGTCTTTTCTGCTCGAGCATTGTCAGAGATGATTTCTTGAGAAGAGGAGAAACCTTCAGAGTGGTTAGAGCCAATAGTGACTGGTTTTGATGGTTGAGAAGGGGTTCGCTGTGGACCGGGTGCTTTTGCGAGTGGAAGTAGAGGGATTTTTTTAGGCTTTAGCCATTGGAGAGGATGATTGAAGGGAGTATGCAGAAAGCTTCAGGGGAGAGGCGGACTTATAGAGGTGGAAAGAGGAGTGAAGCGACGTGACTGAATCGACATGAATGTCGGGGCAGAGAAAGGCAAGAGACGTGACTGATTGATTCAGTTTCCATCTCGATAAAACAAAAAGGCAAAAAGAGTGGCTAAAAACGGAGGCGCATAACTAATATATGAATCATTTGAAAAATAAACGTATTCGTTCTGTAGCAGATCTTTTACAATGCAATGGCCAGTAATAATAAAGTAACAAAGTAACAAAAGATTTTTTACCAAAAGTTATTTTGACACGCAATCTTTCAAGTAAAACAAAAATTAAAACTTAATTTGGAAAAGGTAATAATACCAAGTAAATCCCCAAGGATTTGAAATCTATCCTCTAGAAGAGGCTTAGTAAAACTATCAGCTAATTGATTTTTCGTGTTAACAAAAGATAATTCAAAGTCGCCCTTAAGAACATGGTCTGTAATGAAATGATGCTTGATATCTATATGCTTTGCTCTAGAATGATGCACATGATTTTTTGAAAGACATATAACACTAGAATTATCACAGAAAATTTTAACAGGCTTAAACGAAAGATTATAATCAGTTAATTGATGAGTCATCCAAAGTAGTTGAGCACAGCGTTGTCCAATGGCAATGTATTCAGCTTCAGTTGTAGACAATGCAACTGATCCCTGTTTCTTACTGTTCCAGAAAATAAGTGATTTGCCAAGAAATTGACAAGTTCTACTTGTGTTTTTCCTTTCATCTTTATCACCGACAAGGTCTGCATATGAAAAATCTTCAAGATTAAAATATTTAAGGCATGTATACCATAATTCATATGAATTAGTTCCAATAAGGTATCTAATATTTCGCTTCACGGCAGTTAAATGTGAATCCTTTGGAGCTGCTTGGAACCTGGCACACCTGAACACGCTAAACATTATGTTAGGACGACTAGCAGTTTAATAGAGTAGAGATCCAATCATTCCATGATATTTCTATTCATCTACTGTCTTTCCTTCTTCATCTTTGTCAAAAGATGCAGCTGGACTCATGGGAGTCCCAATTGCCTTGGCATTGTCCATTTTGAATTTTTGTATTAGCTCCTTTGTGTACTTCGTCTGAAATATAAAGATCTCTTCATTTGATTGATAAATTTGGAGTCCAAGGAAGAAAGTTAATTCTCTCATCATGCTCATTTCAAACTCACTTTACATGAGATGTAAGAAATCCTTGCATAAAACAGGGTTAGCGCTTCCAAATATAATATCATCAATATAAATTTGAATAATGAGATTTTCAAAAGATGATCTTTTGATAAAAAGAGTAGTATCAATCTTACCTCTTGAAAATGCATAACTAACCAAAAATGAGCTTAGTCTTTCATACCAAGCTCTAGGTGCTTATTTTAGCCCATAGAGAGCCTTAGTCAACTTAAACACATGATAAGGAAACTGTGAGTTTTCAAAACCAGGAGGTTGTTTAGCATAAACCTCCTCATCAATGAAGCCATTTAAAAACGCACTTTTAACATCCATTTGAAATAGTTTAAAACCTTTAAAAGAAGCATATGCTAATAAGATACGAATTAACTCTAACGTGCTACCGAAGCGAAGGTTTCATCATAGTCAACTCCTTCCTGTTGAGAGTAACCTTGAGCGACTAGCCTTGCTTTATTCCGGATAATGTTACCTTCTTCATTCATTTTGTTCTTGAATACCCATTTGGTTCCTATGATTGCTGTATTTGTTGGTTTGGGCATCAATGTCAAACTTGATTTTTATCAAACTGATCAAGTTCTTCTTGCATAGCCTGTACCCAACTTGAGTCTTACAAGGCTTCGTCAATTTTCTTTAGCTCTATTTGAGATATGAGTGCGATGTTAGCCTTTTTCTTTAAAGCTCCTCTTGTTTTCATTCCATCAGTTTGATTCCCAATGATGAATTTCTGAGGATATTATAGTTCGCTTCTTCACTCGTTTGGTACTGCTTAAGAACGTTGTAGTCGATTCATTCTAAGGTTGATCATGCGCACTGATGTATTCATTAGTCGACTATGGGGTTTCAGCAGTTTCTTTTGAGGTCTTTTATTCACTGACCTTTGGCTGATTTTGGCTGATCTCTTTATGACCTGCAAAATCTCCTTTCTCGGTCATAGAGTTATTATCATCAAAGATAACATGGACTGATTCGTCTACGCATATCGTACGTTTATAATAGATTCTAAAAGATCTGCTATTATTTGAGTAGTCGAGAAATATACCTTCATCACTCCTTGGGTCAAACTTACCAAGACTGTTCTTGCCATTGTTTTGGACAAAGCATTTGCTTCCGAAGGGGTGAAAGTATCCAATATTGGTTTTCTTACCTTTCCATAATTCATATGGAGTCTTCTTCAAAATAGGTCTAATTAAGCACCTGTTGAGAATGTGACAAGTTGTGCTAGTTGCTTTTTCCCTGAAATGATTTGGGAGAGAATGTTCTAGTAGCATGGTTTTTGCCATATCCTGCAGAGTTTTGTTCTTACGTTCAACCACTCCATTATGTTGTGGTGACCTAGGTGTGAGAAATTATGAGTGTATCCTTGACCGTTGTAGAATTCTTCAAAAGCTCTGCTTTCAAATTCTCCTCCATGATCACTTTGAGTGGTTGCGATAAGATTCCCCTTTTCTCGTTCAGTTCTTTTATAGAAAATCTCAAAGTTTTTTAGTGCTTCACCTTTATGAGATAAGAAAATCACCCATGTAAAATGTGAGTAGTCATCAACAATAACAAAAGCATATCGTTTACCTCCAATGCTGGCAGTTCTAGTAGGTCCAAACAGATCCATGTGAAGCAATTGTAAAGGCTTGGTAATAGACACAATGTCCTTGGTTTTGAAAGAGTTTCTAGTTTGTTTACCAATTTGACATGCATCACATATATCATTTCTAGAAAAGTTGAGCTTCGTAAGACCAATAACTAATTCATAGTTGGAGAACTTTTCAATTAGATGCATGCTTGCATGACTAAGTATTTTATGCCAGAGCCATGGATCATTAGATATGGATGCTAAACAGATATGGCTATCCGATTTTCGATGCCATCAAGAATGTAGACGTTTTCATACCTTTTACCAGGAAGAATAATCTTACCTGCCTCATCTTCAATAGTACATACTGTTTTCTTGAATTTAACTTCGTACCCCGAATCACATAGTTGACTTATACTTAGAAGATTGTAATTGAGTCCATCCACTAGATATACCTCTGCAATATCGCAATTATTGCTGAATGGAACTGTGCCAGTACCAACTATCTTTCCTCTTAAATCATCTCCAAATTTGACATTTCCTCCATTTATTTTTGTGACTTCTTTGAACAGATTTTTATCACCCGTCATGTGACTGGAATATGCACTGTCTACATACCATTTTCCTTTGTGACTTTTCCTATGGTGTTCCTGCAAAATAGAATCATCACATTCTTTTAGGTACCCAAGCTTGCTTGGGTCCTTGTTCGTTGATTTTACCAGAATCAAGGTTGTTTTTGGGTTTTCAAATCCATCCTGAAACATTTGATTTACGAAATCTATAAAATCAGTATTTTTGTCCAACTTTGTTACAGTAATGTCACACGGGTGTTGATCTAGTTTTCGATCTCCCACTTGTGTTAGTACTTGTGGACTCAGTTTTGGCCACTCCTTTTCCAACTGACTTGTAAGTTACCTGTTAGATTTGACAGAACTGTGACTGGTGGACTTGCGCATGCCTTTAGTTGCATTTTCAATTCTTAAACTCCATCTTGAAGTACATCACTTTCGATTTCATAGGCTTCAAGCTTAAGTTCCCAGTCTTTCTTTTCCCTATTGTGTCTCCTTAGTTCATTCAACTTTTTTTGAGACTCCTTCAGGGTAAGGTCAACAATATCCTGCAATTCATTACATCTATCATAGTTATAGGATCTTACCTCGCTTGTTTCACCTTGTTCCATGAAATACTTCTCAGTATCTTCCTTGCATTCTGACAGGCGCAAAAAACTCACTTAAAATTATGCTCGCTAATCAAATATAGTATAGTATAATATCATATCCATAGGGATTGGAGTTAAACAACATTCTCATAGTTTCTAGCTTGATTGCTATCCAAGATGATCAATAGTTGAGATTTATGTGATAATACAAAAATTTACTAAAAATCTAAAGCTATTGACTAATGACAATCGAATCAAGGAATAATCAAAGAAGGTTACCAGTGGGAGAAGATAGAGTTTTGATAGGATAGGTGCATGATAATTGTTCGGGATCTAACTCTAGTTAATTCACTTCTAATGTTCAAGTGAGTCTCTCGAATTCACTCAATTATTAGTTCAAACGTTTAGTAGAAACTCCTCTCCTGATTAAGTCTCAACCTCACGAGATGAACCAATTTAAGCTCTGTGAAGATATGCAAAAATGCGTAGTGGATTAGTCTTTAGGAGAACCTCTCTCGGTTATCCTCATAACTAGGTTTAATCAATGATTCAACTAGCCTCTTTCGATTACTAAGAAGAATTAATGAACTCAACCAACAATATAATGCAAAGATATCACAAGTTATGCCTCTCTCAATTACATGAACAAGTGAATATAGATGCAACAATTAAATCATCCAAAACGCTTCAATATATAAAACTAGAGTTATAATCCATAAACAAATATTAATACACCAAATCCACAAACCCTAAAGGAAACTACTCCATAGACATGGAGTAATTCATCACAATTATAATAAAAGTATAGGAAAACATAAATTCATCCAAACTCGGGTCTTGAGTGAGGAAGGAATGATGAATTCTTTGTGCTTTTGTTCTTCCAGCTCCTCCTTAGCATCCTTCGGTCGAATATGTGTCAAAAGTTCAGAAAATAATGTTTTTCCATGTTTTTATACCAAGTAGGGTCAGGCCCAGACGAAAGCACCTTTTCGTAGATGAAATAGGACAATCGCTTTGGAAAAATTGCACAGATGCGCCGCATGGAGCGAAGCGCCACGCGGAGATTTAGTGGGTAAATCCAGAGAGCTCAACGATTCAGCAGGCTGCCAAAATACACTGCTGCGGCGCATCATGCGCCGCAGCAATGCAAAATTCTCAGAGTGTGCCTTTTCGCTTGATTTTTGATATCCGGATGTGGTTCTCGACCTCCGAACGCTATCCCGGCCTTATTCCTTGGGCTTTTACCCAGACTTTAAAGCTCAAAATAGCTCGAATTAGCTCTACAACATCTATATAACTCAGAATCACTCCTAAAAGTCTTAATACACAATAAGTATAAAATACTACCAATCAAAGCTCAACACAAGTAACGTTCAATGAATTAGAGTGCAATAAGCGACTAAAACACGAGATTATAGCGTACCATCACATTCATTGTCTGATGTGTCTTCATTAGTCCACCAACCATAGTATATGTTCATGTCATTTTCCAAGATGGTCATGATGCACAATTTGCTATTTCTTCGTGTTCTCATTTGTCTTCATCACTCCAGCTTCCGAAAGATTTGTTTTTATTGAACCCTCTGGAAAATTTTCTTTTAAGATCTGGACATTTATCTTGAACATGCCCATACCTTCCACACTCATAACATTTTCCATCTTTCTTTTCTTGTTCATTGTATTGCCTGGTTCGTCTAGATGGCATCCCCCCTTCTTGTGTTTCTATATGTTCTTATCAATCCATCCATATTTCTTGATACCATGGCAATTTCTTCTTCAAGAGCTTCTGGGTCATCATCAATATCATTTTCAGGTCCTTCAGTTTTAGTTTTGAAGGCAACTATTTTCGTCTTTTCTTCCTGATTCATTTTCTTGAGATGGGTTTTCTTGAATGCTATAAGATATCCTCGTAGTTCATCATATGAAAGTTTGTTTAGATCTTGAGATTCGAGTGCGACTACTTTTGTCTGCCAAGTAGTAGGTAAACTCCTTAGAACTTTTCGAACTTGATCACCACTTGAGTAGGGTTTACCGAAGGCTTTTAGATCTTCAATAATTATGTTGAATCTTGCAAATATTTTCTCAATGGATTCTCCTTCTTTCATCTGGAAGAGTTCATAATCATGAACCAACATGTTTATCCTTGTTTCTCTCACTTTGCTGGTTCTTTCATAAGTGACTTCCAGTTTGTCCCACGTTTCTTTGGTTGTATCACTACTTGACATTTTCTCATACTTTCTCCACTTATATCATTATAGAGCAAGTTCCGTTCTTGAGCATTAACCTGAATGACCGCCATTTGCTCGTCCGTGCATTCATCTATATCTTCTGGATCAGCGGGTAGTTGAGTTGCTGCTAGTAGTGGATAGTTTCCCTTTTTAATAATGCGTCATACTCTTACATCTTGCATAAATTTCCATTCGCACTTTCCTGTGAGAGAATTGTTGTCCATTAAAATATGGTGGCCTGACTTGCAACTTTCATTCTTGAAAGAGTGCTCCAACAGTTACTTGATCTGCCATGATCTTTTCTCACAAGTTGTTAAGCAAAAAGTATGACCTGCTCTGATACCAATTGAAAGTGCAAGGGGAGGGGATGAATTGTAATTTGTCTTTTCTTTTGCGAGGTAGTCGAATGCTTTTCAAAACTAAATATAAGAAAGTAAATGACATAAAATGTTTTATACTGGTTTGGATTTAGAGTGAATCCTACGTCCAGTCCCCTTGGGTTGTAAGGGTGATCTCTTTTAAGTATGAAGTGTCTGAGTACAGATGAGTTGATGATGTTAAACACCAACAACTTTTGGTCACTTTGTTCTTCTCTCGTATAATCGATGCTGTCACAACCCAAAACTCGACCCGTCGTGATGGCACCTATCGTCGAACTAGGCCAGCCTCAACTCAATAATCTAACACCGCAAAAAAATATTTTAAATAATAAATACGGAAGTGACAATTCATTAAGGAACATTTTCTGAAAACATAATAAATCCAAATTATGATACAACTGCCCAAAACCGGGTGTCATTGAGTGCATGAGCGTCTAGAGGAGAACATAGTCTATTACAATATTTAAAGGAACAAACTGAAATACATCTGGAGATAAAGAAGGAGAGTCAAGGCCTGCGAACGTCGCACACATACCTTGATAGTCTCCTAAAGCCTGAAGCCTCGATCAATGGCTGCCAGTGGGACCAAAAGTGCCTGAATATGCACACAAGGTGCAGGGGGTAACATGAGTTCACCAACTCAATAAGTAACGAGTCCAAACTGTGCACTGAAAGGTAGAGACAAACTCAACCGCAACAAAAATAATAGAAATTAATGTGTAGAAGCGTAGGCATGCTTTCAATTTAATAGGCAGCTGAAATAATAATATAGAGCAGATACGAACAAGGTAAAGAATAAAACTCTGCTACATCTACATGCCAATGCACATGCTATATGTCATGCACCATGCCGAATATTTCATGTGCTCACACTCTCAAATGCTCGTCCACTCAGTACTGTATATGGATCATACGGCCCAGGGAAGATCCATCCCAGATTATATACATCTCTGACAACAGTCAATCAGTACTGAGAAAGGCCAATCAGGCCCTACGGAGCAGAGCCCTCTCTAGGTAATAATAATAACCCCATAACCACTCGATGTTGTATATGGCTCACGCGGCCTAGGGAAGATCCATCCCGGAATATATACATCACTGACCATCAGTCTCCAGTACCGAGGACATAGGCCAATCCAGCCTCATGGAGAAGATCCATCTCTAAATAATAATATCAACTGTGCTCACTAGGGGTATTTACAGACTCCGGAGGGGCTCCTTTAGCCCAAGCGCTATCACAAATTAATACAACCGCGGCGTGCAACCCGATCCCATAATTGTCACTCATAATCAGGCCCTCGGCCTCACTCAGTCATCACTCTCCAGTATCACCCACAGGCTCATAATGTCATGAAACTAGTCCGGAACAATGATATGATGTGCCAATAAATAACAACTGAGACTGAGATATGATATGAAATGCATGAATATGACTGAGTATAGAATATCAATGGAATCAATGAGATGACAGCAAGAAATGACCACTAGGGGTCCCAAAAGTATCGACGTAAAGCCCTAACATGATATCTAGCATGATTTACAGCTCATTTACTTTATCACATGATGGAAACACGGATATCCACAAGAAAGATTCACCAAACGGTGCCATGGAATGAACTAGGTCACGATTCTCATGGTGCACGCCCGCACGCCCGTCACTTGGCATTTGCGTCACCTCAATTCTAACCACATAACACGTAGTTCAGGATTTCGAACCATCAGGACCAAGTTTGAAAGCGTTACTTACCTCAAACGAAGCAAAAATCCTACTACGCGATGCCTTTGCCTCTCAAATCGGCCTTCAAGCATCCCGAATCTAGCCACAAGCAACACAATAATATCAATATAGGCTAAAGGAACAAATTCCACAAGAAAAATGCCAAATTGTAACCAAAATCCGAAATCGACTCAAAGCCGGCCCTCGGGACCACATCTCGGAATCCGACAAAAGTCACAAAACTCGAAAGCCCATTCACTCACGAGTCTAACCATACCCAAATTTATCAAAATCTAACCTCACATGGTCACTCAAATCCTCAAAATCCACTCTCCAATTCACAAGCCCTAAATCCCCATATTTCTAGCTCAAGTCCCTAATTAGATAATGAATAAAGCCATGGATTCACAAAATTATACCATTGTGGAATAGAATCACTTACCCCAACGTTGCTCCTTGAAATCTTTCGAAAAATTGCTTCTTTCCCGAGTTCCTCACGTCTAAAATTGAAAATGAAGATCAAAACCTCGAGGTGGGGTTTTTCTGCCCGGCTAAACTGCAACCTGCGGTCCTAGTTCCGCACCTGCGGAACCACATCTGTGAGCAAGGCTTCGCTTCTGGAGAGTTTCTTTAAAATGGTTGGCTCGGCTCATGCGATCACCTGACCGCATATGCGGCCATCTCAGATACGGGGACCAAGTCGCACTTGCGATCTAATTGCGCATCTGCACCTTATCATCCGCTTCTACAACCTTGCATTTGCCGTTCCTACTCCGCATGTACGGAAACACCAGCAACAGCAGCTTCAGCTGCATTTTTCAAACTCCAAACACTCCGATAACAACCCGAAATCACCCCGAGGCCCCCGGGACCACAACCAAACATACCAACAAATCCTATAACATCATACGAACTTAGTCGAACTTTCAAATCACACAAAACAACATTGAAATGCCAAATTACACTTGGATTCAAGCCTAAGAACCTATAAACTTCCGAATTTCACAAACGATGCCGAAACCTACCAAACCACGGCCGAATGACCTCAAATTTTGCACACAAGTCAGAAATGACACCAGGAACCTACTCCAACTTCCACTACGTACAGGGTAGTACTCTTGGAAAGATGGAATATCACCGCATGAACATAACATTACATTAAGTTACGAATGTAACTCCCGAAGGATCGACCACTATTCTAAATATAGTAATGCGGAGAACTGTTGTTCAGTGGAGCGTCAGAGTGCAGAGGTTGTTCCCATCGTTGAAGTCAGAGTGTGGGACTAAGCCTTTTGCCAATTCAAGCCTAATTCTACCAGGGACCTCCAAATGACATTCCGGACATGTTCCTAAGTCCAAATCACCTAACGGAGCTAACGGAACAATCAAAATTCAAATCCGAGGTTGTTTACACATAAGTCAACATCCGGTCAAATTTTCCAACTTAAGCTTTCAATTAGGAGACTTTGTTTCTCAATTCACTCCAAAACCACTCCGGACCCAAACCAACTAACCAGGTAGATCACAACACAACTGTAGAACACAAAAGAAGCAGAAAATGGTGGAACGGAGCTACAACTCTCGAAATGACCGACCGGGTCGTTATATCCTCCCCTTCTTAAACAAACGTTCGTCCTTGAACGGGTCTAGAAATATACCTGGAGCCTCAAATAGTTGTGGATATCTGCTTTGCATCTCCCTCTCGCTCTCCCAAGTAGCCTCCTCCATAGGCTGACCTCTCCACTACACCTTCACTGAAGCTATGTCCTTTGACCTAAACTTTTGGACCTGACGCCCCAAAATAGCCACCGGCTCTACATCATAAGTCAAATCTCCATCCAACTGAACCGTGCTAAAATTGAAAACATGAGATGGATCGCCGACATACTTCCAAAGCATGGAAACATGAAATACTGGATTCACACTCGATAAGCTATGTGGAAAAGTAAGCTCATAGGCCACCTCCCCAAACCTCCGAAGCACCTCAAACGACCCAATAAACTGAGGGCTCAACTTGCCCTTCTTTCCAAATCTCAAAACACCCTTCATGGGCGAAACCTTCAGCAAGACCTTCTCTCCAACCATGTAATACACATCACGGACCTTTCTGTCAGCATAACTCTTTTGTCTCGACTGCGTCGTGCGAAGCCGCTCCTCAATCAATTTCACCATGTCTAAAGCATCCTGAACTAAGTCTGTACCCAAACGCCTAGACTCACCCGGCTCAAACCAACCCTCTAGAGATCCACACCACCTCCCATATAAAGCCCCATACAGAGCCATCTGAATAGTCGACTGATAATTGTTGTTTTAAGCAAACTCCACCAGTGGCAGAAACTGGTCCCATGAACCCCCAAAACCAATGACACAAGAGTGTAGCATGTCCTCCAATATCTGAATAGTGCGCTCGTGCTGTCCGTCCGTTTGAGGGTGAAATGCGGTACTCAACTCAACCTGAGTGTCCAACTCTTGCTGCACGACCGTCCAAAATTACGATGTAAATTGTGTGCCTCTGTCTGTAATGATGGAAACTGGCACCCCATAAAGGCGAACTATCTCTCTGATGTAAATCTCAGCCAACCGCTGTGAAGAATAGGTAGTGCTCACAGGAATGAAGTGTGCGGACTTAGTCAGTCGATCCACAATCACCCAAATAGCATCAAACTTCCTCGAAGTCCGTGGTAGCCCAACTACGAAATCCATGGTGATCCGCTCCCACTTCCACTCTGGAATCTCTATCTGCTGAAGTAAGCCACCCGGCCTCTGATGCTCATATTTCACCTGCTGAAAATTGAGACACCGAGCTACAAACCCAACTATATCTTTCTTCATTTTTCTCCACCAATAGTGTTGTCTCAAATCCTGATACATCTTTGCGGCACCTGGATGGATGGAATACC